TTAAACTGATTTTTTGAAAAGGTTTTAACTTAAAACCATTTCTACATTTTCTTGTGTGTTCTTTTTTATCGCAAGCCACTCTTCTGTCAGTGACATTATTCAATAACAATACTTTTTCTGTTAATGTTATATTATAGTCTTGGGATCGTTGCTTTGTGGGTCTATTGTAACCTATAAGATTTTTCTAATTTTGAAGATACTGTGTTATTCGGGGAAAGTATCAGTTACCTGTGTAGAAGGTAATATGCTGAAAGCTAATTATGAACTTTATACTATATATAATGAATACAATATGAACATTTTTCACAGCAATAATTGCATTTACATAAAATAGAAACAGCAAGATTATTAATTATTTTCGATATTAAAATAAATGAAATAAGTTTATTTCGTTTATTAATATTTCAGTATAAACATGAGAAAAACTATTATGTTACCATGAAACTAACTAGATTTCAACAGTACTGTTATTATTTTATTATTATTTAGTGTTCTGTCTGACGACAGGTCCATATGAACAGGATCCTTCCATCCTTTTCTCGGACTAGGACCTGTTCATATACGTTCTTGGCAGATGATCCAGAAGTGGTTTGCCATTGCCTTCTTCTGTGTGTGAATAGGATGCCACGGAGAAACCGGGGAAGCCCCCGGAGGAAAACTCCGTGTTGCCTAGACCACGGCCTTGCCCAACACAAGTTATAAATTCGGGCACCGCCGGGAATCGAACCCGAGACCCCAGTATTACAAGGCCAGCGTTCTAACCGCTAGACCACCGTGGCTCCCTCAACAGTACTATAGAAATATATTAAGAGCTTTACTGGGGAACGTGATAAAGTTCTATGCACTAATCGCTCCACCATTCCTTGTATATGGACCAGCGATGTTGGACGTTAACAAGAAGAATGGGGACTTCAGATTCGCGTTTTCTCTGAGCAGTCACAGGGAACAGAATGACAGTAAACGTAGTGAAGATACGACAGATAAACTGGAACTATCAAATATCAACTCAGGCATAAAACTACCAAAAGAAACGGCTATAAAACTGAACTGGAAATAAATTACTTACTACATAGACATAAACCGAGGGGTAAACTCTATGCAACAGAACTCACGAACTTGAAAAAAAAATTTAAGTTCAAACCGGAAGTGATTTCAGATTACAGATATCTGGTCATTCGTAAGCTCCTTGTATTTGCCCTTATGTGGCCTTTCTTTACCTTCCATTAAACAAAGACGTCAGTGTGTTTGCCTAGCTTGAAGAAAAAACATGAATGAATGACTTTTCCAAGTCCTCGGAAAGAAAAACAGAGGTTGCCAATGTTCCCTCGTAGACCAGTCGGCGTGGTAGGAGACGCGTTTGTGTGAAGTTCGCGTTTACAAGTCTCAATCGCGATATCTGAATTCATTCTTATTGAGTGTGTTGTATTTGTGCAAATAGGCGTACTCGTTAGAATTGTGTATTTGTTATGTTACTCAGTTATATTCTAAAAGCTTCTGTGTGGAACTTAAACTTAAAGCAACTAAAAATGTTACTCGGAAAAGAATTTCTGATTGTTATTTGTCCGCAAATCACAAGCCGTTCAGTAACAAGGAAAAGTAATTCTTGGACTCTATCCATCGTCTGTTATTCTGATCTCAAGTATAATTATAATGACTTAGGTTATATAGGATTTTGAGTTTTTCACGGCGGTTAGTTTGAAGGTGGCTGTCTTCTGACTTAAGTTTTCCAGTGGCTGAGATTAGCTTTTTCTAACGTACCCAAATGAATACATGGCTCTTTCATTTTTTACTTACGGACAAAAACGTCCGGTTTCCGAAACACTGTGTTCTTTTGAATTTCAGACGATGGACAAAATCCAAGAATTTACTAATCCTGAGTTTAACACCATCGTCAAAACCCTTCAAAAAATGCAGTCGTCAATAATATCATTCATTTTATCACTTGAAATCGCGAGGCTAGAAGTGGGAATCACAAATTTGTTTTCTTTTACTGTGAAATATTTTTCATCGCTATTCTGGTTTGAAGGTTTCGTTTTCGAATCTGACCATAGACAAACGATTTTATCTGCAAAAGTGCATACTGTAGGATTATTTTTCTTTTGCAGGTTATACTAATGACTTGTAAAAAAATATTAATTATGGTGTTTGTCCTTCAATGGGTGTTTTCAAGACCTGGCAATATCACTCTGTAGTGTTAGTGAAGATCGTCTTGTGGGCCCGTCCATGTGACTGCCCAGTTTTCCAACAACATTGAGCCCGGAGTCGATTTTAATATTATTATTTCGAATCCTGTTATTATTATTATTATTATTATTATTATCCCATCTATTCACCATTTTATGGGGTTTGTACTTCCATGTACCCGAGACAGACCTTGTCCCTAAGGTACATAGGGCAGCAGCTATTTCCGGGATACATATTGTTTTAAGCACGTGCTACATGTATTATATAATTATTATTATTATTATTATTATTGTTGTTCCTATTCTGTAATCTTACATCACTTCCTGTATGGACTTACATGGTTTCGAGCGGTTAATTTTTATTGTAGAATGTACAAGATGTAATTTACAACCGAAAAGAATATGTTCGAAACAGTTTACATCTTTACAACCGGGAAAGGCCAAAATCTCAATGTGTGGGGATGATGGACATTAAGACGGTTGGTGAGGGCGTGGAAACCGAAATTTAGAATTTCCTCAAATTTTAAGTTTTCTACTACAAATTTGGAATTGCGTCTACGCACCAATCAATAGGTACTTGGAGGCATGAGTAGGAAGATGAACAGTCGATCTGAACGTTGTGGCGAACAACGAAATTCCTGCCTCTGCTGGGAATTGAACTCCGGTCATCCAGCCCACAGCTACATACTATTACAAAACGTAAACTCACAAAACAATTGAAGTTAACATTGTTTCAAGATAGTGGAATTGAGTCATATTGATATATTGAAAAATACCTGTGATTATAATATCAACCTTACACTATCGAGTATTCTGATATCGATATATTGTTATGTTGGTAGTGTTACGATAAAGATGCTTAGCAGCAGTATAGCGTAGTTTAAAATTAATTTGAAAGATTGTGTTGTGAAAACACTTTACATAATTAAAAAATACCATTTTTCTAATAAATGCTTAAGTCTCACGGGAGGGCCAAAAATTATTTAATATGAATTGGCTCTTCTGACATGAAGCGATACTCCCTAAGCTTCTTAGTATATGTAACGTCAAATATATGATGAAATGACTGCAGAATTAAAAATAAATGTAGGAGGAAGCGGTTCGGTCTATTTTAAGGGACTAGACCAGATTATGCTTGAAGGGCTGTTTAAAACCATGAAAAATATGACTCGAGATTCGAGCACGGAACTTTTCGAGTACGAAGCAATGGAGCCAATTACTGAACCGCGACACTCAGTTTTAACATGGAGGAAAATATATTACTTTCAAAAAGTAACAGTTATTGATTTTTGTCAGAGATTATTAGATGTAACTGAGATTGTATATAATTTTAACAATTTTGTAATTTATTAAAATTTTATAAAATCTCGAAGGGTTCTAGTTACGATTTTAGAATATAGATGACAATTTGTAAATAGTTAATGCATTTTATCACATTTACACATGTAGACAGAACTCCCCACGAAAAGGATTTCGTTAGCTGTCTATTCGTATGTTGATCTTTAAAGACAGTCATGGTACTTAAAATTAAATTTGATAAGTTTGAAGGTGACTTTTCTCATATTATATGCTAGTTAATTTTGTTGAAAAGGCAATTTTATATTCACACTGGTCGTTTTGCTGTCGTCAAAAAGGTTTATAAGCTATTTAAATGGCAGACCTAATAAAATAAATTCTGTCTTAGTCACTTTAAGAAGAAACTTAATTGAAATATACACTAAATTAAATGTTTTATAACAATTAATTATCAGTATTTTTTAAAATAATTAGTACAGAAATGTTACCGTATAAATACAACTTACAAAGTACGGTGAAATCACAGAAATTTTCAAAATTATTAACTCTGTTCTAATTGAAAAAACAAATGGCAGCTAAATATTTTGAATGAAAGTCAGAAATTCGAAAAACTGCAATCTATTTTATATGACAAACACAACTTTCATAACGTAGCGTATGTTAGTTACTGCAACAAATAAATTATCTGTCATGACTTAGCTCATAACATTTTTATAAGTGTAGCATCATTTCAGAAGATACTTTCATTAATTTATATTTTATTACAGTTTAAGAAACTTTATGAATTGAAAATAGTATTAAATTGCAATCTGTTGTCTTATCGGCTGAGTAGTGTTCTGTGTTGGAGTTGCAAAGTACTTAAGAGTGTTGGATTATAAGGCTAGCCCTAGAATTTTAGTATAAGATTAACTTTATCAGTAGATTAAAACATTAACCGTAGCAATTTGATTATAATAATAACATTTTCGATTTTCTATTACATAACTGTCCATAAAAACTGATTAGAAGATTAACCATAGCTTACAAAATTATTTTCATTGTCACAGCGTAGTAGTTTATTCAAGAGACTCATAACTCATGGCCAATAAATATTTATCATCATCTAAAAATAACCTATCACATGTAATTATGTTTTATTTATGTATAAATTAAAGGGGTTTTTAAGATGTATCTGTCAACACCAAATCAATCCCTCACACTGTAGTGTAATTTAAATTGTAACTTCCAAGCCTCTGAATGCATCAGTCACGAGACTTTTACTTCGCATAACTTTAGAAATGTACCTAGTTTAAAGAAATCGCTAAAATTTGAGTGAAAGCTTCAGTTTTAGACAAGTATTGTTACAACAGTGTAAAAATTACAGATGGTTTAAACTGTGCTTTGTTTCAGATATAAGATACATGATCGCCAATTAAAACCAATGCGGAATATTTGTTGTGTACGTTTACCCTTCCATCCCTCATAAAAAGAAATAACTGAGGTCATCCTGTCCGTTGGTTAATTCTAAAGTCAGTGACTTACCTCAGCCTCTTTGCTTCGTCGATGAAGGGCCTTTTCTCCATCTCCGTTAAGAGTTTCCACTCTGCTCCAAGGCGTTTGGAGATCTCAGAATTGTGCATTTTCGGATTCTCCTGTGCCATCTTCCGCCTCTGACCTCTGGACCAAACCATGAACGCGTTCATGGGGCGCTTGATGTGTTCCTGGGCGTGCATCGGCTTCCCTCCGTTCATCATCGAAGGAGACGTGGGCGAAGACGACGATGACGTCCCCGAAGATGATGAGAAGAAATAGGGATGTTTGAGAAAACTCGACGACGCCGTCGTTGAAGCTGGCACCTTGAGATCCACTTCGGCAGTTTTAATTCATCGCGATGATCAGCCTATTGCATGAGTGTCCAGTTGGAAGGTTAACAGTCTGTGGCACCAACCAGTCGTTACTAAGAAAACCACTTTAGTGAAATACAAGTTTACGACAACTTTCACTGAATTTAGTACAAAAATTTCTGTAAAGACGCACTGTTAACACTTGATAAATCAGTTAGTTGAACATGTTAGTTGATTTTATTTATTGACATTGATTTATGAAGTTCCTCTCGTATAACTAAACATCTAGTTGGTAATTAAATTTCTGAGTTTTTTATTCATAAACAACATCGGGCTCACATATCTTAAGATTTTCATAACTTTACGTTATTTTTGAGTCGATATATTGATATCAATTAGCTGATTTTATTAATTAATATTTCGGCGCAACAAAGAGTCTTCATGATCCAAGTTTTCAACGATTATTTCCTTTTGTAATCACTAAAGAATTTATGGAGTATTAATATTTCTCAAGCTTGACAGGAACGCGATGAGTCGGTGCAGACGGGAGCCTCGCACCGCACACACTGAGGCGACAGTGGATACAGAAGTGCGCGGTCCCACACTGGAAGAGATTTCAATGAACACAGCTTCTTTACTTCATCTGTTTATGGACCATCTCTGCGTCCGTGCGCTTTGGGAATATAATACACTACATTAGCGTGCCAGAAAGAGACAGGTTACAAAAGAATGAGACCAATCATGCTGTACGACCCGCCTCCTTTTGAGCGAATCGATTGTAAGGCCAACGTGTATTGGCTGAGAGAGCGTTAGCGCGTCACAACATGGCGTGCTGCGGCGTCCTCAACAGGTGGTCTGCGCCCTCTCAAGGTACATGCGTTTGCATTCTCTGAAGAAAGGTGAGGTCATCGTGATATGGTTTTGATGAAGATGACTGATGATAACTGAGCTCCGACACATAGCAAATAACTCTTGTTGCTTTGATTGAGATGACCAGAACTTTTCGTGTTCCTAACTAAGACACTGACTGGCTTGAAAGACTGTCGGCCCCTTAACCCCGGATTTTTGACCGATATGTTTCTCAGACTGCACCCTGAACAAGTTTCTTTTCTGGCGCACGTATCACGTTGCTCATAATTCAAGTTTTCTCAAGAACACACTTAGTCCTGAACTGATTTAGGTACATTATAGCAGTAAAATTAATAATATAGAGGGAGACGAGTTAATTAAAAACAACATTTTAAGATAAATAAAATGCTGAACATTGTAAGGCATCTTCGCGCGCCCCTTTTCAAGACTTTACATCTGGCGCCTGTTAGCTTAATATATTTTCGTAATTTTCCTCAGCCTTCCTAGGATAATTCCTCTAAAATCGCGGTCGAGTGTTGGCACTCCTGATCCGTAAGCCGGGGCCCCAAGTTCGAATCTCGTCCCTTAGGCGGGCTATGTGTGAATGAAATTTCGTTTTAACTTAGTTTTTTCATGAAGAAGTCACATCGATTCGAAACTGATTCTTCATCCGGCTAACTTACGTAAAGTGACTTAGGCCTACATTTGAAAATATGCCGCTTAATGAACGAAGACTCAATTAATATTGGGAATGATTGACGATGTTATTTCTGGGTTGTATACCGTGTGGACTTGCGGGTAGATTCCGACGTTTCGGAGGAACCTACTGTCTGCATCGTCAGGATAATACAGAACGGCAACATTATCCTCTTTACCGCCGTGCCAACCTTAGTTCTCACATAAAGGAACGATTGCTATGGTTGATAAAACGTTATTTAACAAGCTTGGAAAGAGTATTCTGTTCTATTCATGGGTTCTATGCAAACTTCTTTTGGACGTATTAAATCTTCCTTTTTCGATATTTAACACTTGGCCACTAGATCGCAGCACATCACTGTCGGCCTCACGACTTTCCTCATATGAGATCGTGCAGAATAGCACAATTTCCACATCAAATTTCATCAAAATCCATCCAGTGGTTCTGAAGTTGAATGGATTGGCAGACGGACGTACGGATGGTTAGATAGACCCGACCAGTCCATAATGTGTTCCCACTATGCACTTCGTGCAAATAACGCGTAATAACCCATCCGGAATGTTGCCTATACACAATATATTGGCCTACAACATACCGAAAATTTTTAATTAATTTGTGATCCATCAACTTTATATCAGACGTTATCCTGTTCAAATTCCATCCTGTATCCACCTTGTGTCCTTACAGGGTTTTAACTCTTTCCTTAGATTTTGGGCGAATGTCGAAATTTAGGCTGTGAGATGCCGCACGACAGATGTGAAATTTGGTTCTAGCCTTAGAAAAGAAAACAGATTAATGTGTTTGAGAATAGGACACTGACCACGTAAGATGGAGAAACAAGAGGAGGTTGGAGAAAATGAGCATCATGTCACTAGTAATGTCAAAGTGATCTAATCAAGGATACGTTGAGCACGGCATGAACGACGCGTAGAAGAAATAAGATATGCATACATAATTTTTAGTTGGAAGCCCGAAGATAAGTGGTCACTTGAAGACCTTGGAGAAAGTGGGAATATAGTATTGAAATGGAAGTGTTGAAGAGATTAAAAGCTAGATGTGTTTTGGATTCGTTTAGATAGAGATTAAGGAAGGACCGGTAGTGGATTATTGTGGAGACGGTAATATAATATTTGTTTCTTAAATGGAGGGAAGTTATTGGTTAGGTGAGCAGCTATTAGGTTCTCTGTAAAACATCTTATATTTATAAACAAAACATATGCCTTAATGATAATAACATTTTGCTTAACAACCCCATTTTTAATGCACTCCAGTACCTTGACCCCAACCCTGACAAACCACCTTTCACCCACCAACACCGCAGTCAATAACCAACCTCGCTCCGATACGATGTACTTCTGATCTCTCCTCTTACAACTTCAATATTACTTCTCTGGTAAGTTTATACGTTCACTTTCATTTATTTATTTTGTTTTCTATATTCAATTTCATTAATGGTTTTGAATCCTTTAATTCACAGACCAATATACGCAGCATTAACATCACTCCGACAATACGATTGCATCAATGATATATAACACAACAATAAATGTTGATACAATGTGAAAAACGAAGAAATGATAAGAAAATTAAAAATTAGTAATTGAATTAAGAGTTTATAACATACACCTGATGACGGCTCTATGAAAGCCGAAACATGTCGAGAATGTTCCATATGTAAATCGAGTACTCGATACGGAACAAAGGATAATATTTTAACCATCTAATTATCTTATATTACTTTATTGTGATTGACGGACAATTTTAATATATTTTAATACTATCTCATATTTAATTAATTGAATTTGGAAAGATAATGTTTATTACAATTGTAAATAAAAATATGTTTCCTTTTAGACGTTCTTCAGGCTGTAGCGTAAGCGAAGAGTATATTATTGGGGTCTAGAGTCTCAGAAACGAACATATTATTTTCAAAAAATACCTTTATCATACTTGTTCGAGAAGGATAATATCAAAATAAATGTCCAGTCTGTTCGTTGGCACCTGTAACAATTTGCCACGCTTTGCTTACCCTTAACGCCTGCCACATCCACATTGTTTCGGTGTTTCATCTACCTCAGGCATTAGTTACTGTACTTCCTGAAACTGATTCAGTTGACCGTATTCAGCTATTAGGAGAGAAATGTATTAGAGATACGCATTATTGCCACCTTTAGAACGTATGCGACATAGTATCCTCATTAAATAAGTTACGATAACTACAGTTTGGATTAGTGTAAAATGTTTCTCATAAGTGAACAGTGCAACAAACTTTCTCTGTTGTTATGGCACTGTTTCGAAACTGCCATTAAAGTTTCATTTTGCTAACACGTTTGCAGGTTAACTGTGCCGTTCCTATTTAATAAAAATTAAATTTAGAAACGTCACCAAAAACGGACAATTAGAAGAGATTTAAAACAATTATATTTTACTTCTTTGTTTAAAACATAAGACAAGATAAGCGAAAAATTTATTAGAATTAATAGACGTTGAATTAAAATATAGTTAGGTAAGAAATTTTGTGACTAAATAAACATGAGAACAAAATTATCGCTTTCCTAGAAATTCTACACAATTAAACGATACTTCATTGTTCTAGAAACTAAGTAAAACTTGGAAATAAAAACTGTGTTTTGGCAGTAATATTCAATTAATATATTTATATAT